AAAGGTAGTTTTTCGTTCTCCTTCTCTCTCTAGTTTTTTTGTTAGATATTTCTGCTGTCTTACCATCTCCAAGTCCGCCGTCTTAGTCTGAGTTCTTCGATTGTTCTTCACATAGCTCTCCGTCCCGATCTGGTTTTTGGTTGATGTCCTCGTCGATCCAGATTGATTCCTCCGGCGAAAACTCTCCTAGCCAGAATTTGGTCAGTTCGTCTTCTGCATCATCATCTGACAGCCTATCTTTAATGGAAGAGGAGGCATTAGCTCGTGTCCACAGAGCCCGTATATCGAGGGAAGGGGATGCGGAATCCAGTTCGGTCGAGGGTCCGTGGCCTGCTGCGACTGGGACTTCGAGGACTCTTAAAGTCATCGGGTCCTTTCCTCCTGGAGCCCGATATAGCCGCGGACAGTCTGAACGTGGCCCCGCGTTGACGGGGGTCGAGGAAGATCCCGACTCCTTTGGTTTGTCGATCTCAACCCCAGAAAAAAGGGACCCTCCAAGACCCGGTCTAGGTCGCAACATTGCACTGGTCCGCTTTGACGACCAGAGGACCTCGTCGACCCTTGAGTCATTGGAAGCGATGCGGTCTGCTAGAAACCTCTCCAAGACCGTGAAGTTTCTGGCGCCTGGAAAGAATGACCGCTCATAGACGCCTCCAGGGGGGTATATGTGTTTATACGAGTCATTCTTTACAGCGAGCTGGCTGTGGTTTCCGCTGCCCAGGATTTTGATCGAATACTGTGCCCGGTGGGGCATAGTTATCTCCCAGCTTACCTGGGCCTCGATCCGAAACTTCACGGTCTGCCTCACTCTCGCCGCAGAACATGAAATGGAATGTGACTGCGACACCTTCGAGGCGATGACCCAACTGAAGTGGCGGAAGCCTTCAGGCCGCTTCAATGTATCGGCGCGCCCCGGGAACTTGTGGCTGAATCCGGACTCCATCAGTGATAACTGCGACAACTGGGAGTTCATGTATTTTTTTGTGAAGATCGATGCGGCCTCCATCGAGAATCCGAAATTACCAATCCGGGCTGGCTGGAACATTATAATCAGTAGGCTTAATATCCATGTGTTCTAGTTTACCTGTTTTGGCTGACACCTAATCTTCTTCTTTGTTTGCAGATTACCCAGTTCCACCGATCTTAACCGCTCCAAAGCCCGGTGAGAGGATGTTGATTCTTCTTCTGAAGAAGTTGCAGCCTCAACTTTGGCCAAAATTTCTCGAGCAGCGGATTCAAAGGTGTCAAGAGCGGATTACGACAAGTTGGAATTCGATTTTACCTTCGTCTTTTTCCAGTTTCTGGCTTGAAACGGGTTGCTTCTTGAAGTAGGTTTCTCTTTCTGTTTTGGTAGGCTGCTATACCCTTGAGCTCGTTCCGCTCAGACCGTATACTTTTCCTCTAATCAAATCGAGGAAACCCCGCCTAAAGAAAGTCGGGGAAGAGATGGTCAAGGCCAAGTTCAAGAGGGTTAACTATACCGACGTTGCTCAAGAGAGTCCTGCTCCAGACAAAAGGACTGATGCGACCATTAAACAGGCAGGGCCGTCTGTCGCCGCTCAGGGGGCGTCCAAGCAAATCCCTTCGCAGACCGAGAAGGCCGCTGAGGCTTCTCTCACTGCGAAAAAGGTGGGAAAGCGGGTGGCGAACCCCTCTACTGAGGCTCTGAAGAAGGTTTCTAATAAGGAGACCAGAAAAAAGAGACCCACTGAGGTCGTTGCTGAGGGATCGAAGAAAAATTAGCGCGTGGAGGAGTATGCATAGAAGACCGCCTCTGTTGAAACCGCTGCCACTAGTTCTGAAGAGGAACCCGCGACCTATGATCTTTCTTTTACCTTTAAGTCGAAAGATCATATCGCAAGTATCCCGCAGGCATGCGGCGAGCTGTACTCCAAAATCCCCTGTAGCACGGAGCACGACTTTCCTGAGCCCGATGACCTGATCGAGGCGGAGGCATATCAGCTGTTCACGGAAAGCGTGATGGAGGTATCGTCCTCTTTAGCCCAGCACTGTGTTTTAAAATCCTTGCTTTTATCTTGTCTTTTCTCATCGATCTTCTTCTGACAGATGATCACACATGGAAACCTGATCATCGAAAAATACGAGCGTCGGTCTCGAGGGATCTTGAAGAAGCTTGAGAAGTACCCAAGCGTGAAGAAAGAGGCTAAGAAGGTTCCTGGTTTCGAGAAGAAGGTCGCGGCACAGGTCACTTTGATGGATGATCTGTCCAAAAAGGTAGAGGAGGCGAGGCAGCGAGCGAAATTTGTCGAGGAGGAGCTCGAGAGGTAAAGGCTGAAAAAGAGTCTCTTCAATCTTTTTCCAAGATCAGGAGACAACTCGTCTGTGGTCTTCTCGAAGGCATGAGGTCGTTCAGATCAGGAAGTTGATCGCTGACAACGAGGAGGCGAACATGCTTAATGCCCTAATGAACCAAGCGATGGCTATCAAGGATTATCTCGCTGGTTTTAAGAAGGTAGGAGCTGATGTTTCAGACGATCGGTTCAAAGAGCTCGATGAGAACTTTGAAAGGTTCGAGAAGGATTTCGACGCTCTGGACGTCGAGGAAGTGACTGAGGGCGATTTCAAGATGACTCCTTTTCCTTGGATGTATTTGAACCCTCCTCAGGGCGAGACCGCAACCGCCTCCGTGAACCCTCCTCAGACTGAGATCGTGGCCCCCTTCGACCAGTATGGGACCCTGATGAGTGTGGAGGATCAGGAGAGGGATCGACTTTTGCTCGTGGATGACCTGGGAGTGGAGGCTCAGGCTCAAGAAAACAAGACCGCTACTGTGGCGAGAGACAACCACTGCCGAGGAGCTCGCTCCCCTGAACGGGCTTCCGGTCATCCCTGCTCCTCAGCCTTAGTCTC